GGCTATATTATAGTTTGGTTCAGTGGGTTCCATTTTGAAAGAGACAGTTCCTTTTCTCCACATGATGGAGGTTTTCCCGCTCAAACTGTTAATTTGCACACGGTACTATCTTGTGCACCCCTCTCAAACAGGCTGTGCACCCGTTACTATCTGGTGCACTCAGCACCAAAAGAGGTGCACTCAGCACCAAAACCGCTGCACACAGCCCCTAGGAAGCTGCACTCAACACCTAGGTTCATTAGCATACTCTTCCCGCCTCTGGGCCAATAAAAGCCCTGAGGTATCAAGGGCTCGGGTCCTTGGATATTCCCCAGCCTTGGATCTACTCTTTTGTTGCTCCTCTGTATTGTTTGCCTGAAGCTTGGATACCATCTATGTAATCAGAGGCCTGGACTTTTGAACTGTGCTACCCTTGTGTGGTAAATACCCACAAGGCTTTTCCTGTTTGCATTTGTCACTGGAACCGGGACTCTCTTTTTCCTATCATCTTCATTGGATTACCCGCCTATTGGATCAGACGGTGTTGTCGAAGGACGGATCAGACTGTGTCCAGAGGGGATTCCTTTCCAGATCGAGGATCCATATCGGGGTCGTCTCTTCACAGAGGACTCACTACCGTGGGATCTCCCTGCTTGTCCTCCCCAGAGGCTTACAAATAGCCCGAGGGTTGAAGGTCGCAGGCATCGATCGCCTCAGGCTTTGTATATACCTTATGTATCTAGGGAACTGTTCTATCTCCTTTCTTCAGGTTAGGGAGGGTTGGTTTGTTGAAACTTGCTGTTAACTGTATATCTGTTCCACTACTTTACTCAAATACATGGTTTGGCCCTAAATTGTGTATGCCTGATTTGTGGCTAGAGATCCACCAGTGATTAGATATGGCTCTCAGGACGGATCTTTCTTCTGTGTAGGGACTCCTTCTCCCCATTTTATATCCACCATTGGCCATTTTAATTTGTTTGTCCACGTCCCTAGGGCAACACTGCTAATGGTATATCACTTGGAGTTTGTTTACATCACCCCCCCAAAAACGTCTCCTCACTGCCACACAACATCTTGGCTGCTATTGCAGTAGGATTGTAGGCTAAGACTCTGGAAGTGGACTAATGTGCTTTGAAAGTTATTGGCTCCCATGACAGGCACGTTACCGCCCTATCATAGAACACCAACAACAAGGAGGGTCTGGCAGCATAAACAGGCCATGAGCGAGGCATGTTCTAGAACAGGGCTACTCAACACATGGCCCGCAGGCTACATGCCTGTTTGTGGCCTGCAGTGCAGTTTGAGTTTACACAGGGCTCAATACATTTTGACAAAAAAGTAGTCAATATAATGGTCTTCTGTTGATATGCGTTTTAGTAGTTGAACTACTGGACTGTCATTGCTCATTAAAAGTGCTCTCATATGGGTAGAAATCAGGTAAATATTGCATGTTATTAATATCAGCAGAAATTACTTAAATGGGCCTATATGTTGTGTAGTGTTGCCTTAATCTTTGTATTCATGCCCATCAGTGTGAAAGAAGCTATTTGCATATAGAAGCAACCACACTTAAGTTGAGGCCCTCAGCATGTGCTTTGAGTATCATTATGACCTCCAAAAGCGACGAGGAGTCCTGTGGCACCTTATAGACTAACTGAAGTGTAGGAGCATAAGCTTTCGTGGGCAAAGACCCACTTCAATCTTCCTGGACACACAATTGCAGATCTAAAAGTAGCCATCCTGCAGAAAAAAAAATTCAGGACCAGACTTCAAAGAGAAACTGCTGAGCTACAGTTCATCTTTAAGTTTGACACAATCAACTCTGGATTAAACAAAGACTGTGAATGGCTTGCTAACTACAAAAGCAGCTTCTGCTCTCTTGGAATTCACACCTCCAGATCAGCTGCTAGAAGTGGGCCTCATCCTCCTTGATTGGATCCACCTGGTCATCTCCAGCCTGATCCTGGCCTGAATATTTATCCCTGCCTCTGGAAATTTCCACTACATGCATCTGACGAAGTGGGTCTTTGCCCACGAAAGCTTATGCTCCTACACTTCAGTTAGTCTATAAGGTGCCACAGGACTCCTCATCGCTAATGTAACCTTGTATCCAATAAAAAACTTAGTGGTTACAGATTGCGGGTTCTGCAGAAGGGCTGGCAGCCGGGAGGTGGTGTGTGACGGAAGCTGGCTTATGCTGGCCCCGCTTCTGGGGAGCCCGTCTCATAATAAATGGTTTTTTAAAAAGCGGTGGTACAGGCACAGAAGGGGAATGCACCACAGTGTAACAGTATGAAAGAGTCAGTGACATAGGACACCAGTGGAGTAAGTGAATTTAAGTTTGAAAAGCTGTTACTCAGAATTCTCATTTTATTTTATCACAATTCTCTGCCTTGTAATTTTAATCACAAAGAGGGCTGCTCCAAGAACCAGTCAGGTTCTGTAACAAACAGTGCCAATTCACCAATATCAACAGATGCCACTCTCAGGAAAGTCAAAGCGTCTTCATCCCTCCTGACAGATCGGGTGTTTCCATTCTAAACCCATTTTAAGATATTCATAACTTCCCAAAATTATCTCGGCCGTAATCCCTGTTCACAAGAACTTTCTTGTTTCATTTCAAAGTCAGGCAAAATGACTGAGCAGTCTGAGAACAAACACCTCCACTTTACCTTGTAACATTTTATAGAAAACAAAAGATAGCTCTAGCCCTGAAGCAGCTGGAGTAGATGGCTGAAGTATGGCAGAGAATAGCTCTCATTAAAAAGCGCCTCTGAGTGTTCCAGTAAACATTTATTGTGATTGAGCAAATTATAATTTTTTTTTTTCAGAAAAGCCAACCATTGCTCAAGTACATATATTTTTAGACAATTGTGGCCTTCAACTAAGGAAGGCTGTGCTTAGCTACATACTGCACACCTTCCTCTAACTTCTAAGAGCCCCACTTCATCCATTGCCCAGCCTGTGTATAAATTAATTTCAAAGGTGTTTCTAGCATACGCGTAGTACACAAAACTATACCCTATGTCCAAGAGTGTAAAAGTATATAATTTATCTTTTCCAAAACACAGAATAAGTTTATAAGCACTACACAAGCACTAGCTAGGCACTCTATTACTGTATTAATATATGCTTGGGTTCTCATCAACTATTGCAATGCATACAAATATGCAAGCATAAATATGCATACATCCTGATTGAAAGGGTTTAAACCATGCAACTATAATGTTTCCCATCTAGATTTGATGGAATAATTAGGTAATTTCTGCATTGCCCAGTCTGGCATCACCATCTGGGGAAAGGAGGAGTTGTGGTTAAGGCACTTTATAATGACTTGTGTGACATATGAATTCAATAATGAAGCTCTACCACTGGCTGTGTAACTTTTGGCATATCACTTGTGTCTCAGTTCCTCATCTATAAAATCTAGATAATCCTTCCCTATCCTCATTTGTGGACAACACAAGTGCCTACTAGAGATAGCAAGTCAAACTACTTTCATAGTTATTATATAGTAAAACTATTTCTTAAAATTGAGTAGAGCAGGCATGTCCAAAGTCCGGCCCGCGGGCCAATTGCGGCCGGTGTTCCGGTTTAATACGGCCCCCGCTTCCTCCCCCTCTCCTGGCGCCCCGGCGCTCTTTTGAACTGGCGCGCCCAGCGCGCTGCTTCCGGCCGCGCCACCGCCGCCGCCGCCCATGGCCTCCGCGGTCCTAGAGTCTGCCCTGTAGGGCACGTCTGCAGCCCTGCTCCCCCACTCAGCTGCGGGTTCGCTCTGCCCCCGGGCCGCCGTGAGGCCGGCGTGCCCTGCGCTCTCCGCCCGCCTCCGACCCAATGGGCGACTCCACCTTGGGGCTGAGAGTGCGAGGACGGACTCTGCAGCTGCAGAGATCGGGAAATGTCTCAGTACCTGTGATTGGCGCTGCGCACTGTCAGCTTCGCAGGGAAGATAAACAGAAAGATATTGGAAAAAATAAAGCATTTTGAAAAAAGGTATTTCAATGGATTTGACTTCAAGTTTATATTTACATTAAAATAACGTTTGAATGTTATGGATTAAAGTCCATATTTTACTGAATAGCTTTTGTTTTTAAAGAGCTGAAGTACTGAGAGTCAATTTCAAAAGCACTACTAAAAAATGTGAAGTTTCTGCAGTTGTGACTTAGTGGTTTATGACCTAAGTTTTAAGCAGCTGTGTATACACATCTTTTGGAAGCTAGACACAGATATCTGTTTTGCTTGCGTAACTGCTTATACCCCATGTTGGTTTAATTTGCAGGCTGGCTCATAAATGCTAAGCTAATGGCACTGAATTTAAAGGTAGAACATTAAATGAGAATTTTAAAGGACTTTCTTCCCCCCAAAAAATAAGGGAATAAATGGATTAGGAAAGATCTGGGATCCTATTAGTCTCAGGCGAGGAACCTTTTTAATATGTACCCAGAATTTCAGAAGGGGAAACCCCTCTCCAATCATTATACAATTTGCTGCAAAAGAGACCGGTGTTTCTCTACCTATTTTCTCTGTCAGTTGCATCCTGCAGGTGGTGAATGAAAATGGGGAAAGATTTGTGGGAGATCCATGGGAGAAAAGTGAAAAATTCATGATTGAAGAGTCTTGGTGCAATCACGTTCAGGGACATTTATGTGGTCTTGGCATGTTATCCACTTTGGGCATGGACGGGCAGTATGAGCATAACTCTGTTGCAAGGAAAAGAAAGATAAAGGACTGAAGAAATTTTACATGCAGTACCTTGTACCTTATTGAGTGTACTTCTTTCCAACAACATTGCTATCTTGTACCTGGTTTACAGGGTCAAATAACAACTTAGAAACCCAAAAAGGGTGTAGAGAGCTCTCCTCTGACACCAATCCATCCATCTGGAAGTCATCTCTCTCATGATTACTTTTCCATCTCAGAGCATTATGAAAATACATAACACTCTGGCTAAGTGACCCCACTACCATGCATAATCCGAAAAACAAATAGATTTTTGCTTGTCAAAACAGATACAATTGTGTTGGGGAGGAAATAGTTTATTGGTACGTTAGGTTACCATTGATAACTCATGTTGTTGAACAGATTCATTCCAATAGCACCACATATATATTATTAAACATGAAGGATAATTCTCTTTAGTTCACAATTTTAAAGCTATCTTAATATTTCTATTAAAATGAGTTAACATAAGTGAAGTTACAAAAAAGACTAGATTAAATTCTCTCTGTTCTTTTTGGAATGTGTGGGTTTTTCTCTACTTCAGCAAAACATCTAAAAAGATTTAGGCATTAAGCCAAAAACCTCTCTTCCATGAAGATGCTAACACTTGCATAGTCATAAGAGATACTTCATAAATTCCTGGAGGTTGGGACGGACAGATTTCTAGTTGGATGCTGGTAGGAACAGAAACTGTGTATCACTTCAGTAACAAGATGTTCATTGAGTATTTTTAACCATTACAATGCTAGTCTGGCTCCAAGCAGCTATAAAATACTAACATACAAAATATAGCTAGACATGCTAAGGCGCTGCAAAGCGGGAGCAGGACCGAATCCTTCATATTACTGACAGCGTTACTCATCATCTCCACCGCAGAGGAGCAAGAGGGCTTTCCTAAAGTCCCCAGATGTATCTTTCTGTGTATGAAACAAAGGGTTTGTCACAGTGAGTCACAACCATAAAATCTATTTAAAAAAATTAAAGTCAAGCCCAGGAAATACTCCAAGAAATGACTAAGCTCCACCCACAGAAAATCTATTTGTATGACTATGTGCTCAGGAATGAAAAGCTGATTCTCTGATTAGTGTGTTAAGATCCAGATCACTGATTTAAAGAATAACAATTCCTAAAAGATTTCTAATAGAAATAATGGAGTTGGGCCACTTACCACAAGTTAGAAAGTCATTGCTTCCATTTACAAATTAATGAAAAACCATCCTACTCCAAAACAATACAAATTAAAACCTTTCACATATTGGAGGTGACCTTCCCATAACTTAGCAGGGGCCCAAATTTACTCCCATGGCAACGAAAAGGGAAGTTTTGCTACTGACTCCAGAGAACAGGAGGCTGGCTCCACTTGATAATTTCAAAAGCAATTTGACAGAGCAGAACTCAAGGACTGTAGTGTACAAAGAGAAGTGTGAGTAAGAGTTGAAAATGGAGACAATATCATTTGAAGAATACTTCTTCAAATAGTGTACTATGGAAAAGAGTTATGGGTTATATTAACAGCTTTTTACTTTAAAACCAATAAATGGAAATCCCGCAATATCTGGATGTCTCACCAACTCCCTTTTTTCCCACTTAACTGATTACATCATTGCCAAAAGGAAAGTTTTACTGCAGAGACAAAGGCAGAATGGTAAAGGGATACCAGATTGTAATTGCAGTCCAGCTCCATTCGGGGAAAAATAATGGAACAGAATCATATACAAGATAACAATCCCAATCCATTCTCTTCTATGCTAATAGCTTCTCTAAGACATGGAAAGTGAAAAGAAAGGTGCTCATACCAGGAAAGAAGTATAAAAAAAGGCAGGAAAGGAAAAAGATATGCCATCTTCTTACATATATCTACCCCACTACTGCACAAGGAAATTTAAAGTTCTCCTTTTTAGGAAATATCTCCCTTCCAAGCATTTAAGTCCTTTACAAAAATGGATTCATTCAATATTGTTCTCCAATTTTACCTACACTACAGTGAAACCTTTGTTCTCCGGCACTCTGTTAACCAGAAAACTTTAACCAGCATTGCCCCCTAGGGGGCAATTGCACACAGGCCTGGCTTGGTTTACCATGATTGGCTTAATTTTTTAATTTAAGAAGGACTAATCATCTTTACCTCAAAACAGAAATGTGAGACCAACTTCCTCACAATACAAAACTACCAATATTAAAAACTTGAGTTTTACAATTATTGTCCATTGTTTTTCCTAGACTGATGGGACCCTCAGATAACCGGAATTTTTAGATAACCAGAACGCCCTAATTCCTGAGTGTGCCGGATAACATAGGTTTTGTTATACTAAGCTTTAAAGAAATCTTATACCATATATAAATGCTATTCTCACCCAAGTATTTCTTTACCAGTGGAGAGATTTTACCTGAATCATATGATGCAAAGATTTTGCAAAATTCTTTCTAAATTCATGTCTAATGTCCAGCAGATCAATTTCACTCCTCGAAACCATGATTCTGATCAAAGTATCATCATCAGTGCCAGCTCCCTATGTGAAATGATATTTAAATATTATTTTAAAGAATCAATTTACGCTGAGCAAATATTCTGATCTAGTAAAAGTCTGAGAGTCCTCTGCAGTGTGGTTATAACTGGTAGATACACTCAACATACAGTGAGAATGTATATTGGCCCTCAAAGAACCACTGCATTTCTACCTTATTATCCGTACAAAATGTTTTGGACTATAGCAGAAGGCTTTCACATTTCAATGGGATGAACTCTGCGCCCAGAGTTTCTATGAATTTGATGATGCTCACAACTTCCAACTTCACATTCACCAATTTGTAGCTTCAGGCCATAAGTGCCCAAATAGAAGTGATTCATCTCCAAATATCAAACCATATGGTATTTGTATACTACAATCAGGAGCAGCGTCATACTGAGTGATCCCCCACTGAAAGTCTTTCACTGAAAGTTGGTGCACAAGCACAGTGATGACTAATCAAGGCATGTGACTTGATGGCCAAGTCTGAGTCATTGGCAGACATAATCCTTTCCAAAATTATCTGACTGCTCATATGATGGGTACTGTGGTAAATGTAGAGTAACTAAGCCTATTCTCTGTTTGGACAGGAATTTTCTGCTAAAAAAAATAAAAGTTTTGAGATATGTCTACTAGGGATGTGAACGGGTAACCCTTACTGGATGACGCTTACTGGATTAACCTATTCCCCGTGAGCAGCCCCCTACTCGTGGCCTGCGCCAGCCCCGGCAGCCAGCTCCCTACAGTCCCCCACCAATGATCCTGCTTAGTCAGTTAACCAGTTAAATGTTAGGTTAACAGGTTTAAACGTTAACTGATTAATCGGGATTTCACATCCCTAATGTCTACACAACAAAACCTATGTAAAGCCAAGCCTAACTAAGCTAGCTTGACCCCTGCTAGCATGCATAAAAACAGCAATTAAGACAAAGGCTTCAGAGCATGCTAGTGAGCTGAGCATGTACCCGGTGCCCATACCAGATTTGTACTAGCAGCAAAGAAGCCTGCACTACACTGTCTTCACTGCTACTGTTATGCAAGCTAGTTAGAACAGGCTAGACTGTGCACAGCTTTTGCCATGCAAATATACCCTGGGCCTACGTCTAGACTGCAAGCCTCTTTTGAAAGAGGCTTTTTCGAAAGATACTTTCGAAAAAGAGCGTCTAGACTGCAAACAGTACTTTCGAAAAAGCAAGCCGCTTTTTCGAAAGAAAGCACCCAGGCAGTCTGGATGCTCTCTTTCGAAAAAGCCCTGTTTGCATTCAAGGACGCCTTTTTTCGAAAGAGCACTTTCGAAAAACGCGTCCTTCCTCGTGAAATGAGGTTTTCCGCCGTCGAAAGAAAAGCTGCGTTCTTTCGATTTAATTTCGAAAGAACGCGGCTGTAGTCTAGATGCAGGTGAAGTTTTCTTGTTTTCTTGAAAAAGGCTACTTTTTTCGAAAAAACCCTTGTGTCTGGACACAGCCTTAGTGAATTTTAGCACTGACAAATGGTGACATGTTGACAGCCCTGAAGTCTCAACTTCCTAATGATCAACACAGGCAGTGGCAATGCAAGTTTCTACAGGTGGTTCCATCAATATCCCTCAATAAGATTCAAGGGGACTCCCCTCTCCCGTCGCCCTGCTAATCCAGTCAATCCTTTAACGTTTGGTTGTGACGTGGTGGGTTTTCAGGGTACACATCTGAATGTGTTAGATGGTGGCCAGACCTGACCCCACTCTCAAATTATGCTAGGAACCAAAAAAACCCTTTTCAACCAGGGAGAAGGAGTAGAAAGCACCTTTGCTTCTTCCAGATCTGCAAGCAGCTCTAGTGTCATATAGGACTGAACCCTAAAAGAGTGACGGTATCATGACAGATTTATTAATTATATATTAGTCCATTTTTCTGCTGACGTTATTTGAAAATGGTCTCCTTACACGTTTTACAGATGTTAAATATAAAATTACCAACTTTCTATAGTCTTTTTTAAAATCAGCCTGAAGAATTTTAGAAAGAACTATATCCCTGCAACAGAAATCTAATATATGGTGGTTCAATATTCCTATAGAAAGATTTTCTATTAAATTTCACAGATTTGAAGAATATATCTTCAAAATCTCATTGTATTTGTATAGAACCCTATATTTTCATCTCATTTACATTTTAGAAGGCTTTTCTTTAAGAGCAGTAGAACAACCGAACTTTCAAAAAAAAAATCCAGGTATCACCGCATGATTTCCTACAAGAAACTATTCATGCAAACATTGTATTAAAACATTTTACTTCTTGCTAAACCCACTTTAGACAAATTTTAGAAGGTATGTTTCTTCATTAAAGAAAAAGACTTATGGAGAGTCTCGTCATTACTCTACTAACTCTAATGAAAACTACCAACTGCCCATTGTCTTCACTAGGATTTTAGCTCATGTTAATAAACACACTATATCTTAATGCATCTTTTTCTCCAAGACAAGGCCTAAAAAAGAGCATGCATATCTAGCAAAAGTAGGAAAGTGGGAAGAAATGAGGTGGGGGGAAGGAGCAAGTGAATGAAAGAATCAGTAAAATCAGATTGGTGTTTAAGAATATTTTTGGCAGCTTCTCTTTACTTCTCAAACATGGGATGCAATTCAAAAAGTCATTTGAATGAGGCACTAGAATTTTACTTTATAGAGTTGGGATACGTGTCTACAAATGGTCTTTTTTTTTTTTTTTTTTTTTTTAATAGAGAGAGAGAGAGATCCACATTGCAATCTGCAGAATTTACCACATTGCCTTTGATCATCCTCATGTTCAAAATATATCTGTCACCTGCAGGAACTACAGCTTCCAGTAGTTGTTCCATTTTCAGGCCAGCAGAAGGCTCAGAGTAAGACCAAGCATGGCATGCTGGGATACAGACCATCTCCAATGGTAGTGTTTCCAAACTAAAGATTACAGTGCATAACATACTGTCTATTTTATGTAAATTAGTCACAGCTTTGTAAAGTTTGGATGAATTTAAGCTAGTCCCTCTCTTCTTTTCTTAGGAGTACAAAGGATGAGAGGGGAGGGGAAAGGGGAGGGAGAGAGAGAGAGAGAGATGTTGCTTGGAGGAGAAAAAAGGGTCACATGGAAAATAAGTACTTACCTTCATAGCATAAAAGAGAGATTCGGCAAAATAACCAGGTACACTTCGGACACATTTCACTGAGAAAATGAACCATTAATAATAATCAGTTTTTATTGAACACGTATGACAATCTGAAGGGAGGTAAGTATGTTGACTTTCACATTACACAGTAAATACAAGTTTAAATTCTGGGATAGAAACTTTGTCACTCTCTTTCCCAATGCCTCCCTGCTTCATTTGCGTGGGTTTATGTCCTGGCTCATTGATTCCCAAACAAGAACTATTAATTTACACCTACTGCTAGTCCTATTTAGGATCTAAAAGATAGAATGCAGCATATTTCATCAACAATACAGAGCCTGCAAGCAAAAAACCCTCAAGTTGCAAACTAGCCCAAGCAAGTGAAGACAGAATTTGGTCCCACAATTAGATATTAGTTAACAGTGTTTTGCATGTCACATAGCTGAACAGAATCCACTTAATTCACAAATAGACGATAACTAGAGGAAAAGCTTATTTACTAAATAAAAATTAAGATTTCAAATGAGTTACTACATAAGAGGGCATACATTTTACACCCTTCAAAATCAACAATGAAAACAACATTTTTTTTAGCCAGGGACTAACTAAATAAAACCTTTTTTGGAATTCCTGCATCTTAGATTATTTAAATAGCATTATAAAATTAGACTTCAGGTGAATTTCCAAGGTAAGTCAGAATGGCAACAATAAATAGTAATTTCATCCCTTGTACTATTGGAGATTTTAGAATTCAGGTCACTGGCTTGATAATACAGGTGTCAACTTAACTCAGATTGTTGATCAGGTTACTCAGCACTGTCTCAACCCCTTTAAAAGGAACTGCCAAGTCATCTTTTCAGAGCTCACATTATAGAATCTATAAATAATGTAGCAGGAGTAAAACTTAATTACCAATTGCCAGAAGCAACTTCTCCAGATCCCCAGAGGTTTCACGGTCAATGGTTTCTTCAATTTGAAAGCCAGAGATCGTCATGTATTTGTCAAAAACTGAAACACCAAGGACAAGTACATACTAATTATGTGTACAGAAACATTGCTTCTCCTCTCACTGTCCCTCAGCGCATGCTATTTTCATCCAAGAACAATATATTATCCACTGCTCAAACCCATTCTCCAGACACTCTTCCCCTGCCTTATTTTAGAATATTTTCCCTAGCAGACTAATTATACAGTACAATTCCTCAGGGAAGAGGATATTCTGTAGTCTCCCAAGGCCCATGAGTGCAGTCTACAGTCTGGCTGGCATAAGTAGTGTATTTAAACAAGAATAACATTAACACCATCTTAAATAAATAAGATACCTCACCTACCTAACAAAGCTCTCATCTATGCGGGATTATGTGGAACATTCGGCATTTTAACTCAATCAAGCTGTACCATCAAATCTGACAACTTTACACAGATATGAGAAAGCCTCCCCATCCTACCCCTCAATCCAGCACCCAGTTTGAACTGGAAGCTAGAAATTCAGGACTTCTGGTCTTATCTCTACTAACCACTGCTTATATTAGGGATGTTAAAACATATTTAAGTAACCTTGGAACTGCTAAAAACGTCAGTGGTTGCATATAAACTGGTGTGTTTGGGGAGCCCTCTTTAAAGCCAGCTTCCCAGGTGTACCAGCTCTGCCTGTCTCCCCGTGCTGCTACCTCTGTAACAGAGCCAGTAGCATGGAGGGGTGGGGAGACAGGCAGCTTCCCGAATGCACCGGAAGCCTACATGTAACCATGCACATTACAGCAATGAGCCCAGGTTTGAAGGCAATCAAGCCCCCACTACCTTACAGACAAATTAACAAAGGAGACTGCACAAATTCAGAAGTTATCCATAGAAATGGGAGTAGAACCCAGATTTAATATGGCAAACAAATTATATTCACCCAGCCACTCTGCCTTTTAGATTCAACGTGTCAAACGTGTGCAGGCTGGTACATTTAGTTATTATCCTGACTCCTATCTCAAAGTGAAGGATAGAACAAATAGCTGTGTAAACCAATGGCTAAGGTCTTCAGTGGCTGGTTCACAGAAAATTCTTTTAATCCCAACATCTAACACAGGCTTTTTGTTACTCTTTCTAGCTAAGGGCTGTTTTGGTTTCTAGAGATGACTCACCCTAAAGAGAGAAAGCATAAGTAACAGCGCAAGACAAAAAAAGTGAAAATAGACCAGGGTGTAAGAAACAACAAGAAGTGAAGTAAGTAACAGCCAGGAAATGTCCCTTCATGTTGTGGTGCCTTCTGAAAAGGTCGGTATTCTGCCTAATACCCACAGGCTTAATTTCAAGCATGCGAGAAGTGCCACCGGAGCACCATTCAAATTAAACATGTTTAAAATGCTTATTATAATTTGGAATGCCATATAAACAAAAGAACTGGTCTCAGGTTAGAAGACATTCACAAAATTCCTATCATTTTGCAAATCCTTTGAACAGAAAAGAATCATCAGGTAAAACCTTCCACTCAAACATGGAAGGGTGTGATAGAGCTGAGCTGAGCTGGAGGACAGCTGGACTGTGTGTTACTGGTTTCACCTGAAAAAGAGCTACAAAGTGTGTTTCCCCATCTTAATTCATCCCCACTCAAACGTGTTTCCCCATCTTAATTCGTACCAGAATTTGGTAAAACATATGTAATATACTCAGAAGATGCTGGGTCGGAGGGGAAGCTACAGCATGTGGGGGCTGGGAGAAAACAAATACATTAAAAAAGCCCTTTATCCCATAAAAAGGCTGATCTCCGTCACATGATTCATTAGGGAAAATAAGCACCACACACTTTGATGCTCTTTTTCAGGTGAAACCAGTAACACACAGTCCAGCTGTTCTCCTCAGATCTATCACACCCTTCCTCCAAACCAGAGGTTTTCACTAATATTTTCTAAGACCATGCCTACACCATCATTTATATCAGCAAAGGTTTTGACGCTCAGGGTATGAAAACACCCTCCACAAAGTAACATAACTTTTGCCAATATAAGCACTCATGTGCACAGCGATACGGCAACAGGAGATGCTCCCTTGTGGACATAGCTACTGCTTCTCATTCAGCTGGTTTTATTATATTAACAAGTGAGCTCTTTCCCATCAGCATAATGTGCCTACACAAACACTCTTACAGTGCCATTGCTGTATCGGAACAGCTGTGCTGTTGTAAGCTTGTAAATGAAGAAATGGCCTAGGAGGAAACCACTTGGAGGACACAAAGAGAAATCACTTAAGTAGGGTTGCTAGATGTCCGGTATTGGCCCAGACAGTCCAGTATTTGCAGCCTGTCCATTTAAAAAAAACAAAACAAAAAAACCAGAAAATACCGGACATGTAAGATGTCCGGTATTTTCTGTTTTTTTTGGACGGAAGGCTGCTTGAGACAATCTTCCTCTGCTGCATCTGGCAGGGGTGGCGGAGCGTGGAGCATGGGAATTTAAATGTGCATTGCATCTTTTTTTTTTGGCTGGGTCCCCTCCCCCCCCCCTGCTTTTTTTCCCCCCCTCAACAACTGTGGGTCTCCTCATGTTCGGTATTTTTTGTGAAAGTATCTGGCAACCCTACACTTAAGAAGTGGAGTAAAAGCTAGGGAGTTACAAAGGCACCGAACCATTCCCAAGATCAGGGAGCCAGAACCAGTTTGTTCATAGATCCTCCTTTGTGCACTGCAACCAACATGTATTAGGCACAGCTGAGATTCTCGGTTTTCAGCTCTAGTTGCACCATTTCACCTACCTTTCCTTAGATGAGACACACTGCGAGTCCCCAAGATGGTGATGAACTTTTCTTCGTCTGTTCCCCATTTCAGCTCTCCAGCCTTAAACAAGGCCTGTCATAATTTCAAGAAACCAAAACAAAGTTAATTATTTCTTCACGCATTCACTTGGAGGACTCCACACTCTATAATAATTGCAGTGGGAGGGAAGGAACCATGAGTGACATCTCCCAAATATTTAAGAAAAAAATGGATATGCCGTATCCATTTGGATACAAGTTCATCATTGCTACAGATATGTCTTGCCATCATCCTTCATCATTACCTCTCCTTTCCCTTAGTCCCAGATTATGCCATATGAGTGATAGTCCAACCTGTTCATGCCCTGAGATATACGGCACATGTACAGTAGTAGTCTTGCTTCATATAAAACATGAGGTACTCTGTTAGCAAATATATTTTAGAAATATTCCCTCCCTCTAAAAAAAAAAAAAAAAAAAAAAGATGATGACAGAGTCTTCAGCCATGATGCAATCGATGAGCTAATTTCCACTAGGCGCCACACTTCTTAAGCTTTACAAAGTAGCAACTTGCTGAAGTTAACGAGGGCAAAATATATATAGCAGCAGAAGGCTAGACTGCTGTTCTGGCAAGGAAGCCAGTACTTAACCAGCACTTCATTGAGCACCATCAAAATATACACATGCCACCCCACAGGTATTTTGGACAGCGTGTTTTTCTTGACTTTCCAATCTAAAGCACACACATGGAAGTTCCTGGACGCAAATTTAGCAAGCTCTCATATTCTTCCTCTGCCTGTGTTATATATTCTTGACCTTATTTAAGACCTAGGGACAGATCTCCAGAGACCTGTGCATCCTTAGCACTGCTTCTAGCCTCTGGAATGCATATCTTCATTTAGGTTTCTATATTTTAATTATATAATCTCTCTATATCAGGGTTTCCCAATCTATGGGTCGGGACCCAAATATGGGTCACCATTGCATTTCAAAAGGGTCAGTAAGTGTCTCCCCAGGTGGCTCTGCCCTCCCTCCTCCCCCGTTTTTTAATTGCCTTGGGTCACCAAGTCTTCCTGAATTGTCAGAATGGGTCCCCATCTGAAAAGGGTTAGAATTATGGGGAGAATACAAGTAGCATCCATTACATTCCTTTATGGAAGTATGAAAGGTTCATTCCTTAAGATGGTTTGGCAAGTGTCTCTTTACAACCCAGTTATAGCCAGAAGCAAAAGATAGTTCAGTTACCACAACTGTACTCTCAAAGGATGCTGCTTTAGCTGTGATATTTACATTAAAATCTAGACAGTCCTGAACTTGGAGGCTAACTGCATTACTATGTTAAAAGTTTAACCTGCAGTGTTATAGGGAACTGACTCAGTGTTACATTCATAGAATGATTCACCTGCATAATATGCAACACAATTAACAGTGTCTGATTTTTTTCCAATTTAAGAGAATTCAAGAATTTTACTCCTCCTTTACTAGTGTGAGACTGCATAGTTGCATGCATTTGCAGATTGTTCCAAACTCCCTCACCCCAACTGACTGTGGCATACTGAGGACTGTGTTAAAAATGCATGGTATCATTTACGAGAAAGGGGGAGGGAGAAGGAGGAGAAGTCCTGTTATTGTCTGCAGGCTAGCTGGCTCTGGGGTGAAGTGTGTGATCTGTAATGAGACACTTTAAAGTGAGGTAACTTGCTGCAGCTTGAGAGCGGCTTGTTTTCTCTGTTTTGGGGTTCTTGTGAGGTATCGTAGGAATTCTAAGAAATAAAGTAGTGTCACATGAAGCCTTCCAGCAAGCGCATTTATGCTTTTAAATCTAACTTTGTGTGTAAACTCTGATCATAACACTGACCACAGCTAAATCAACATAAGGCACTCAAACTGACTGAAGAGTGACCACACAAGGAGGTTACGCTGATTTCACTCCAGCTGTTCCTAAACCAATGATTTTTATTATTTGTCTCATGTTAGCACATAGCCCATTCTGCTCAGTGCTGTACACACAGAGAACATTACATTTAGTTTAGTTTTAGATTAACATCTAGACTGACTTAAGACAGTACTTGTTGGAGTGTGGCGAAGTCCTCACAGAAGAGCAGCTGCTGGCCTACCCTCAGAGAAGCCAAATGAAGTCTATTTACTGAGGCCAGAAGTGTACTACCTTCCTGGGCTAAATGTATCAGTTTAGAGGCAAAACCTGATAAATTCAACAGATAGGGAGACAGTTACTAAACTAACTAGACTAACAGCCGATCTCTGATCTCTTCAGGGCTGATCCTGAAGCTCAGTAGATGGAGATGGAGGCTTGCTGGATTCTACCACTCCACATCAGAGGTGGAAACAGAAGTGGAAGAGCAAGTACAGGTTGGACCTCTCTGGTCTTGCAAATGAGGGAATTTGCTGGACCAAAGGAGGTCCCCTGCTACCGGCTCCCAAGACCACCTTCCCTCCCCGCTACTGGCCCCAGCTGCCCCCACTGCTGGGCAGCTGTGTCCCCAGCCCCAGCCCTGCTATCAGGGCTGCCACATTGCCAGTCTTGCTACTTTAGCTGCTGCAGCCCCTGCTGCGCTACCAGGGCTCTGGCGCCAGCCCCATGGGGCTCCGAGCTGCCAGCCCTCTTGCCACTGGGGCTCTCAGCCAGGACTGCCTGGTCCAGGAACACTCGTGGTCCTATCAGACCACGGATGTTGCCAGATGAGGGAGTCCCTGTTTTGGGAGGTCTAGCCTGGATATATTGCCAGTTCTTCTATTAATCTTATATCAAACCTCTAGCAAGAGAGTATTTTATTGATCTTGTACTTTCCTTTTCCTTCTTGTCTCCTTTTCTGAATAGTCTTTATTTTCATTCACCTAGGCCCAAACCCTGCATGAGAAAGTTTTCAGCCCAAAGCTATCTGAAACAGCCAAGATACAACATACATTAAATGAACTCTGCAGCCAAACTGCTCAGAACCTGACCACCACTATAACTAACAACAAAGCCAATTGAAATGGCACCGCTGAGCACATCAAAATTACTATACTGCTATATAGAGCTATGGAAAATATTAGTCAACTGCAGTATTTCACTCCCTGGAAAAATATTCAGTCATATCTGCAATGGGAGTTCTGGGACTTCCATGTAGTTACAATAAAGCAACATATTTGGTCCATTTACTCATTTGAGAGCTCCACCTTCTTTTGAATCATCCTTAAACATGAGCAGTGCTAATGTGTTATGTAGCATAGGTCCTACACAAGTCTTTCATGTAAGTTTGGGCTGTATCAGAACATCAGATCTTAAAGAATGAATCTGAATGTCCCCAAATTCTTTAGATGATGGGCTCCAGAATATCTAATGATAAAAATGTCTATTTCCTCTCAGAAATCTATAATGCTCCCATTGCCATACTATTTATATTTCTCATTTTATACCTGACAAAACCAGGATGGGGAGAAGGAAACGCAGAGGGGGAAGTGTCCTAGAACTTGTGCTTGGAATCTGGATCTTGAATGTTGCAGCTTCTCTGTTTTCACAACATTTACAACAGAAAGGAATCAACAAAACAAGTATCTCTCCAAAACCTAAGTCTCTCTCACATCTGGGCCCCACTTGTGAACCTATTTTATTTGTATGTAAACTTATAAGAAGCCAAATGAAACACACTACGAAAAATTTTTTCACCTACCTGAGCATCCTGCTCAACCAGACCCTCATCGATTCTTCCATCAGGGTCTCTATTAGCCTAAAATAATATCCAATGCCAAGAAAAAAAGGGAGTTACGCTGATACAATTAGTCCAACATAATTAGCATAAGATTCAATGTAAAATCATCAACATCTGTTTTTCTGCAATCTTATTTCCCTTCCCTCGACAATTAAATATTCTGCCCCCTCAATTATAAACAAAAATATATGTTATCTAGCAGCTTGTTGAGAACATCATTACAAATGGGGGTTACAGTTGTCACAGACCAGTGCAGAACTGGATCCTTAAAACTGAGCCACCATAACTTCCAATCTATTCACTGCGATCACTCCTACATCCTGCTACAGCCCCTTCAGGCAGCTCTAGTATAGACTAACTTCCTTGGTTTGAGTACTATACCAATCTCCAAGATTTACGTCCATGGGCGTATGAAAATAATTCAGAATGGGCTCTTTGTAAAACAGATATAACTTCTGAGTTATCCTTTATGACATAAGCAAATGCTGCCCTGATTTCTGCAGTCTATTACTCCAATCTGACAGATGCTCGCTCACACACACACACACACACACACACACACAAAATGAAGACTTACCTGAACAAGGACGACTAGCATCCTCTGATAGTAACCTGTTGTGTCTCCTGTGACATGATCTTCTAAGTTGGACTCATATTCTGCAAGAGAAAGTCACCTTACAGAATCTCAGCTCTTTCTAGTGGAAGGAAGGGATACTCTCACTGGTCCTCAATAAGGATGAAGCGATCAGTTGACTAGTTGACTACTTGCATTTCCCCCACTCTTCCTGCCTCTGTATCAGAAGCAGTGGGGGTGGGGAGGGAAGCAGGAACCGATGATGGGGGGAGCGGACTTAAAAACCAGCAACCCCCAGCACCATCTCTGTGGTGCCCCCTCCTCCTCCACACCTCTGCTGCCAAGAGGGTTATTTTGTGGGTTGCAGTAGGTATGTAAGCAAGTAGTCGATACAGAGGCAGCAAGGAGTGGGAGGATGCGAGTAGTTGACTACTCACTTACATCCCTACTCCAGCCCACAAAATAAAATTCTACATCCCGTGGAGTAGCCCCTGTCTGCAGAGGGTTCCCGGGGGGGAGCTGGGACCCCCACGGACAGTGGCTACTGCCAGGCCGGCTCTTACTACGTTTAAAATGCAGAGCTACAGTGGTCTTGGACCCGGTGTGAGCTAGGCTGAGCCGAGCTTCCTCAGTCCCAGCTCCCACCGGGTCTGAGTCCAGGACCTACTACTGCTGTGGCTCTGCATTTGAAATGCAGTAAGAGCCTCCTGGCTCTTTAAATTACTACATTTAAAATGCAGAGCTGAAGCGGGGGTAGCTCCGAGAACTGGCGCAAGCCAGGACAGGGGGCCTTCCCTTATCGACTACACGATTAGCCAATTACCTGATTCTTAACATTCTTAGTTCCCAAGAGACAGAGAAAGTTGAAGGTTCACCTAAGCTGATTATCATAATCTGTCTAATCAGTCTAAAGGAGCCTCATACGGAAATGCTATGTGCTATCATCATTTATATTTACATAACCCAACAGCAATGAGGCAGAAGGGACAATCTGGCCTTCTCCAGGACCAAACAGGAACGAGGAATTCTGCACTAGGAGGGAGCCTGGGGTCTCATTCAGATATGAAACATTCCCTCCAATACAGGAGCCTGCATATGTATACAGCTAATTTAGCCATTTGCCTTTGTTTTTAGGAAGTCCCCCTAACCAGGGAAGGAAAAGGTTTATCCCTACCAATCAAAGGAAGAGCCACTTGCAGATGGGAGACCTATCACTCATATTGGGGTTGCTGTGTGGCTCATCCCACCCATCGAAACATATGCACAGGATAGAGAAAGAGATGCATTGACTTTAGCATGAAGACCCTTAGGGTATGTTTACCTTTGCACTTGATCCAACAAAACTCGTCTTTCATGGGTGCTTAAACCCCCACCCCTTCATGAATGACAAAGTTTTGCTGCAGCAAGTGAGAGAGTGAATGCTGCTTTGTCGGCAGCAGTACTCTCCTGCAGACAAAATGAAACCCCCTCATAGGGGGAAGAAGTACTTTCTTGGCTGAGCCAGGTTGCCTGCCCAGCTAGCAGCAGCCCCTTTCCGCAGGAGTCCCAGCAGGGAGTTGGGATCACAGCACCCTCTGCCCATGGTGAGTCTGGGCCCACCGTGGCAGATGCCTCACCCTCCCTCCCCCATGCTGCTGCCTTTGATTGACGGAGAGAGAGGGGGCAGGCAGCACCACAGAGATGGTGCTGAGGGGAGGGAAAAAAAAATAAAAAATTTTAAACCAGCTCGCCCCCGCCCCCAGCACTGGCTCCTGCTTCCCTCTTCTTCCTCCTCCTCCCTCTCCCCTCCTCCCCCCCCCCCGCTGCATCTGTTACAGGATAAGAGTGAAAAAATGAAGACTTATCTTACAAGTAGAATTTTGTTTTGTGGGTTGGAGTAGGGATGTAAGCAAGTAGTCGATACAGAGGCAGCAAAGGGTGGGGGGATGCAAGTAGTCGACTACTTGCTCACTCCTATCCTGATTTCTTCCCTCAGCTCTCAAGTATGCAGCATTTAATACAGATAGTAAAAATATGAAGAGGAATAAATCTTGACTGAACTTTACCTTCCAGATAAACTTGTTTTATATTCTGCAGCTCTGCAGTTGTTCTGGAGGCAAGAATTTCCGTCAGCACTTTCTCATTGGTCCCTGCTCCCTATGTTGAAGAGCACAAATACATAGCAACGAATATAGTAACCGAGAGAATGATAATTATTTCTTCAGTGAATCCAACAGCAATGTTCTACCTTGCAAACTCCGGAGGGGGAACGCACAGTTTTCTTTCTACTAGCTGTGTACTTTTTTTTTTTTTTTTAAAGGCAGATTTTAATGTTTGGGTTGACTTTAGATGGGGATTGACTGACAGCTCCATGAAAACCATGTATGTCTATGACTTAATAAGCTTAGTCTTCAAGCACACCAAGCTCTATTACATTTAGGTAACATGATCTGTAACAACAGTCAAGTTGAAATGATGTAACCATGCTTTCTTGGCAACTCCCTGGTACTCTCCTTGGCTTACAGCATTTCACTAGATCACAAGCATACAGAGTCAACCTATCATCTGAATTACACTACATTTACAAACAACCTTTTACCATGAATACACATTTTTTAAATAATAGCCTACTCTGGCACTCATGCATTTTAATTCAACGTCTATGAATTACAATGTGCACAACAGTCCTGTTCCACTCCTGGAAAGAGAATAGTCACAAAAGCCAAGACAACACCTTATTTATGCAAGCTTGGATGAGCTTTGCCTGAAGGGGATTCAAAATGAATGTTAACCAGCCCTAGCTCAAAATGGTTTTCTTCTGTCAAGAAGCAGTCGGTCATGTGGCTCCGGCAAGCACTTAAAATTCCTCCAAAATGAGAGAATTCTATGCACAAGTTACTTATAAATGTATCTCAAAACAAAGCCCATGAGGTTATGCATCATCGTTCAAATGCATGCATGGGCAAAGATGTGGTGACAGTGTCACCATGCCTGACTTTTAGCCACCTACGAAAACAAGTGATTCACAAAACCTGACTTAAGCACTAAGGCTGCCTTATGAATGGGGAAACAGGTGCCTCAAACTAGGATCCCCAAAAGCTAGCAGCTGCCCACCCAAGCAGCCAAGCAGATGCCAATGCGAGTGGTGGATGCTAAGCCGCATCCCATGCTGCACTCAGCATGATCTCTGAGCCTCACCTCTTTCTGCTTGTGATTCTGACCTGCAAACCCTTTCTTGGCATTAGGTACCCACACTGTTTTCATAAGAAGTAGTTCCCTTATCACTTTTAACCCAGAGGTGAGGGCCCAGAATATAGGAAGCCTCCAACTCCCTCTGCCACCTGAGGTGTGGGTGGGTGGGGGGTAAGAATCTGAATAAGGGTCTGCTACCTCTTCAGTGAGTTCACTAGCCAGTGAGCTCTGGGATACTCTGACATTGAGCTTGTTGAAGCTGTTCTATTGTGGATAAATAAAAACAGTCACTGGAGCAGGATGACTGGATCCTCAGTCTCTTATATAGGTGCCCTGACTACCAGACTACAGAGAAGGCACACTTCTGAAATTGACACCACCTCTTCCTCCCAACCCCATCATTTATCCACAGCTTCAACGTGCAAGAATGAGAGAACCCTCCTATCACTCATCAGATTATTTTACAAGCCAGTAGTTTTGAAATTCACTGTACAATTCAAATCTTCTCTCATCATTAGGCATATAGCACACTTGAATTGGGGGCGGGGTGGATCATCACATTGCAGGGAAGCGTTCTAACTACAGGCAGTCCCCGAGTTACGCGGATCCGACTTATGTCGGATCCGCACTTACGAACAGGGCTCTCTCGCCCCGGAGCTCACAGGCAGCAGGACCGCCCAGAGCGCAGCGGTCCCGCCACCTCAACCTCCGGGGCGAGAAAAGCTGCTCCGGGTGCCCCTGGTCTGCTGGGGACCGTCTCCAGCAGACCAGGGACACCTGGAGCAAAGCCGGGGAGGCAGAGGGGTCCCACGCTTCTGAGGCTTTGCTCTGGCAAAGCCTCAGAAGCGCGGGAACCCGCCGCTGCTGCGGGTTTGCTCCCGGTGCCCCGGGCCGCTGGGGAC